CCCCCTGTGATAACGTCCCTAAAAGTCACCATCAGTTGGAAATGAGATGAAGGCACACAAAAACAACAGGATCCCTACTACTGGTACTTTACAGTCAATCTATAGTTGGTAGGCCTTCATTGTTATTCTTTTTATGGGATTTTTTTCCTTCCAGTAACACATTTTCCTTTCCCATTTCTGTTATCAATTCTACCTCACCAAGCTGTTTTCTGAGCAGCAAAGCTGCAAGTGCTTTCTACCCTCTCCCTTTCTCTTGCCTGAACAGTCTCCTAGCTCCAGGACTCCCCAACCAGCCTACAAATTCTGGGAGTTGTAACCCCTAAAATAACCTTTCCATGCTCAAGGTTTAAGCATGTTTCTTTAGCACTTGAGTCTACCTATTCAGGGTCAGGATCAGTGAAACTGCTCAGCTGCAGAGTCTCTTGTATGTATGACTGCTTCCAAACATGTAGCCCTGCCTCCAAACATCTCTACCTTCTCTACAGCTTCCCAGACTTTCATCCCTTGAGTGTGGCAACCTGGACATTTTAAGACTTGTGCATTTCTCTCTTTCTGCAGCATTCATTTTCATGCTTGAAATAATTTATGTTCTGTGAACCTCAGTGTTCCCCATCTATGAGAGAGGACCAACAGCTCTTTTGCCCAACTGCTTATCATATTTATCCTTATGTTAAATATAGGTTGCTCAACAGGAAGTCTGGTTTTCATCTCCTTTTCTTTTGTTTTCCTTTCCAGTGGTAGCAAAGTTATAGTCTGGGTTTTGTAGATGGGTTATTATTGTGTTTTAATCTATATCATGAGACTATAGATACATTGCCTGGCTTGCCATGTATTGCTGCTGTGTGCTTTAAAGAAGATTATTACATACTGATTAAAACCAGGTTACCTGAGCTGGCTTAGAATGAGAAGCAGGAGGCATCCTGATATTATCAGATGCATTTAGCTGCTGAATTGCTGCCCAGGTGCAGCCCAGCGCCATCACTGCTCAAAGGGGCGCTCCTTGTGCCTCTTTTTGAAGCCGGGAATCATAATCCAATGTTCAAACCATACACTACACTGGCTCCCTGGCTTCATGTAGTACTGCTTGATATTTTATAGCACAGATGTCATTGGAAACATTCAGTAAGTCAACTCTCAGGCTTGAAAGTGGAATGAATCTTTCCTTCTGTGCATTTAGATCAGGGGTAGGCAACCTTTCCCCTTTAAGGGCCGAGGGACTTCAGCTCCCAAAATCCCAGGAGCTATTGGCCAACATGGGACTATTGGCCAACATGGCTGAGGCTTCTGGGAGCTGAAGTCCCTCGGCCCTTAAAGGGGAAAGGTTGCCTACCCCTGCTCTACACTTTGTGGCCTATATGATAACATCTGTGGTTTAAGTCTTGGCTCATTTTTACTGTGTCATCTACTCTACATGGAGTGTTTATGGTTTTCTTCTTTTTGGCTGTAGTATTTTACTTTATATTAATTGTTTCAGCATCTGTATTTGCCATTCTGCTGCAAATAAACCCATATTTCTTGCCTCACAATATTTAAGAAATACTATTTCATAAAAACAGCAGGTTAAAACAAACTGTTGAGGAGGCAGGACCAACAGTTAAACAGCAAACATTATCCATACCCTCCAACACTTCACAGATGAAAACAGAGACTTGTGTGGCCAAGCAACACCAGAGCATGATCAAGATGCCAACAGTTATTAATGAGGAAAGCCACACAAACTATGACAGACTACAGTACAGTGATTCCCAAACTCTTATCCTCCTGATGTTTTGAACCCTGGCCCCCAGAAGTCTCAGCTATCCTGGCCAGTAGACTGGGATTCTGGGCACCGAAATCCAAAACACCTGGAAGGTCAGAGTTTGAGAATCACTGCTGTAGCAATTTGCTTCTGCCTAAACCTACTGGGAAGGGTAGGCTCCACACTGTCCTATTCTTTCCATCAGCTGACTTACTTTTGAACATTGACATCAGTTTCTACAAATTGAAGTAAGCAAAATGCAAAAGGGAGAAAGTGGGAATAATAAAGACAAATTGGGACAAAAAGTGGGATGACAGAGGATTAATTGGGGCTGTCTCAGCCAAATTGAAACAGTTGGGAGCTATCTGTCACTTCCAACCTGCCAGAATAAAGACTTCTTCAACAATTGAACAATTAAAGCTTGCCAGAATAAAGCAGTCTTCAAGATCTGGTGAAAAAAATTAGGAGAGAAGGTGCACCCCACATCACTAGACGAGGCAATACATTATTTGGTTTTTGTTTGAACTGTGTTGAGATCAGTGAAAGCTTGACCCCATGTGAGGACAGTATTGCTTGGCAGCTGTGAACTTTTAAAAAGATGAAATAGCTGCACACTTTCAGTGAACCAGTATTTAGAAAAAAACATATTACAAGTGATTGTTGTTGCTGTTTGCCTTCAGGTCATTTCTTACTTATGGGATCAGTAAGGTAAATCTATCTTGGGTTTTTCTTGGCAAGATTTGTTCAGAGAAAATTTGCCTTTGCCTTCATGTGAGGCTGATAGTGTGTCTTGCCCAAGGTCATCCAGTGGGTTTCCATTGCTGAGCAGGGATTTGAACCTTGGTCTCCAGACTCCTAGTCTAGTGTTCAGACCACTACACAACAGTGGGCCTCTACAAGTAGTTAGTTAATTTTAATCCATTCTTTTCCCCCTTAATAAGGGTACAACCCAGCTACATTGTTATTGTACCTGAATAAGTAATAACATCACTGTTTTTGTGAACATCACTTTTGAGAATGTGATCTACTAAATGTTGGAGAAGGAATATGGCTTCAGAGACAGCTCTTACCCTGCCTTGTACTGTTGCCTTGCGTTCTGCTCTGAATGTTTAGGCCAGGGGTTCCCAACCTTTTTGACTAGCAGAGCGGAGTGTGTTTTGTATCTCAGACCAGCAGCTTGTGGCACTGAGGTGTCTCTTTTTAAAGGAAATTAAAAGTTTATTTTGGTTACTTTTGAGAAGTGGGGGAATTGAAGTGTTATTCTCATTTTTAAAAACGTGGCTATAACAGTAACTAACTAGTTTATTTATTTCTATTATAAAGGGAGCCTAGACGGCTAGCAATAATTTAAGATGGTTCCTTACCTTGAAACTCTAACTCTGTAAAATTAATATATCATGCTGTGAGGTTGTCAGATATCTTAGATTATTTTATATCTAAGATTATCTGATGTCTTAGATTATTTCACCTCTCTACAGCAAAGCAACTTAACTCCATATCAAATTCTGGAATATCCAAAAAGGCCTGTCTCCTGGCTTACTTCTTATTAAAAGGAGGGAAGGAGTCTTGGTGTTAATAACCCTATAGTAACTCAGATATGGATTTCCATTTGTATAAGGAGATATATGGGGGTACAGAAGATGACTGGGATTTGTTCTGCATCTGAGCCTGTTGTGATTCATGTTGACTGCACAGGGGCTGTCTTTGTATGCCTAGCTATGTTTTTTTTATGCTGGGCTCTGGTAATAATAAAAGATAGATTGGCCTAGGTGTGTTCAGTGGCACAGCATCATCATTCTGAAATTCAAAGGCCAGTCGATTAGAACAGTTAACTGCATATGAAGAGCTTGTGTTTTCCATAACTTATGGTGTTAATAAAGAACTTTATTCTTGACCGCAAGGTAAAACACTTTAATTCTAACATCTTGTGTGAATTTATGGTTATTGGTTTTTATTTGTGGGATTAGTGGGTGCCTAAATGTTGCCAACATAGGCTGTTATATGTTTCAAAATGGCCATTCTTTCAATTAAAACCTAAACTTTTTAAATTACAATTGGGCTTTAAACATCCTTGGTTGTAATGATACTGGGTTCTTTCATCCATTTTTGTGTTCTAATCCATCACCACAATACTACTGTTGGGAGAAGGTGATTAAAGACTCATTAGAATTTTTCTTGTGTATGTTGGCATTGCTTAGTTATTGCATTTATTTATTAACTGTGTCTACATGGAGCACATCACAGATGTTCTCTCAGTGGTTCATGCACAGATATACCTTTAAAAATGCAACATAAATAAATCATTGATGCTCCTTTAAAAAGCAATATAAATTAATTTAAAATGCTGAAAATGCTAAATCCATCCCTCACTGCCTTAACTAAAATATGACATGTGGTGACTGTTTGCAGGCTTTATGCTGCTGCCGGGGCTCATGAAAGGCTCACTACCTAAGAAAGGTCCTTCCCCCACCACCATCACCACCTTGCACAACTAGTACTAAGAATGGTCACAAGTCTGAATGCTGATGCTCCTCTCATTGCTTTGTTCCAAAAGGGATGATGGGACCAAGTAAATGCAGCTCACATCTCTCTCCTAGATCCTGTCCCCTTGCTCCTGGATTTGTAGTGTACTAATTCTACACAGAAAGCCAGCATAGTATACTAGTTTCACTATTGGACTATGTCCCTGGAAGACCAGAGTGTGAATCCCTGCTCAATAATGGAAACCTATTGGATGTCCTGGGCAAGTCATGTAGTCTCAGCCTCAGAGGAAGGCTATGATAGGCTTGCCTTAGGGTAACATAAATCAGAAATGACATGAAGATACATCACACCAAAATATTGCTATCACATTTACGATGTGTGTGTGTGTGTATATATGCCTTCAAGTAGCCTTTCAATTTACAGCAACCCCATGAAAATTTCATAGGTTTTTCTTAGGCAAGAAATATTCAGAGGCAATTTTGCCAGTTTTCCTGCCTCTGAAATATAGCTTACAGCAACTAATATTTGGGTGCCCTTAGGCAAGTCACATACTCTAACTCAGAGGAAGGCAAAGGCAACTCCCTTTTGAAGAAATTCTGCCAAGAAACCCTCATGATAAGTTCTCCTTGGGGTCACCATAAGTTGGAAGTGACTTGAAGGCACGGAACAATGTACAATGCCACACAAGAGCAACATATATTCAGACAGCTTCACAGTCAACATAAGATCCCTAGCACAGATGAGAATGGATAGAAATGGAAGTCCTGGTGTTAAAGCCACCTCACATAGAAAACCAAACTCTCGACCTCCCCCTCTTCTCATCCTGAGATTTATCTCTCCACCTGAAGAACTTGGGAAGCAGAGCCATGTTATCTGTATGTGTGGATGGCAGGAAGACTTCTCTACCACAAGAGATTATGGAATTAGAGAGGGTGAGAGACAGACCTTTGTACATAGTGAATCAGCTGCCTCATTTTCACTGACATCTTTTTTTCATCTCATTTTGGTTTGCCTCACTTCTGGGCTTTGAAACAACTTCTTTTCTCAGGCTCATTTGAATCCTTGAATCTGAACATCAGATTCATTTATTCTTATTTATCATTAAGACGCTTGAATCTCTGTTGCTTGCACAGCTTTCTGTTTAGTGTGTTGTACTAATATTATTCTATGCTTTTAATCTTGTAAATAGTATTAGTTTTACAGATAGTTCAATAATGTTTTAATCTTGATTTTTGTATGTTTTAGCTACATGTGGTTTTGTTTGTATTTCTTTCAATTTGTACGTCTCCTTGAGTCCCAATCATGGGGAAAAGGCAAAGTATAAATAAAGAAAAAGATGGATGGATGGATGGATGGATTAAACTGAGTCCTACTCCTACAGAATCCTGCTCTTGAAAGGACATTTCTGGCACCCCCTTTCAAAGGGTGAGAGATGGTTTTACCAACTCTTCCTTTGGTCCATTAAAGATTGTTCAGGGGATCTGAACAATCTTCTGGAACAGTAGAGGACCCATAGTAAAAAGGATCAGTTAAAATTGCTTTTCCATTAGCAGGGGCTTTCATTGCATCAAAGTCTCTGTCATGAATAGAATGGTACCCTTAAGGTCTAACCCACAACTTTTCACAGATTTGGCATGTTTGTTAACTTTGTTAATATCAAAGGTAGAACATCAAGTATGTCCTTTTGAATATGGACTCAAAGTAAAATGAGATGAATGACATTTCTGGAAGCAAAGTTTTTGCTTTATGTCAACTAAAATACACACCTCTCAGGACCTTCAAAGTACATGCTAAGACTATTATCCCAAAAAAAAGTGTCAGAAAGCCATCTGTTAATTTCCAATGAAGATCTCATATAGTGCTCTTCAACAGATTAATTAAGGAAGCCATATGTGAATGTGCAATTCTGTTACAAAATTCAATAAGATCAGCAAAGTCTTGTGGGTATCATCATTCATATTATCAAATGATGTGGAAACAAGATAGCATCCCTTAACTTTAGCTTAAAGCTTCTAAGTTCAACTACACTTCTAACAGAAGTACACAATAAATCTTACCAATCTTATAAATACTTAATTTGGCAATAGTATCTAGAAGTTTTCAGAGGTTTCAAAACAACTGGTTTAAAACAAAGTACTCTGATACATTGAAATACATTGCATTTTTTTTTAATTATTAAAATTATTGTAAGTTCAGCACAGAGTTATTAGGCATATTTATCAGTCACTGATTTCAGAACTGTTCACTGGATTGTGGGCAAATGTTACAAATTTTGCAGATGCATAGTTTCAGTCACCCAATCTTCACACAAAATATCTTCCTTGTGTCACCCAGATTTGGTTGTGCCTGAACCAAATCTGTCTTTTCTAAGTCAGTGTATGCATTTCTGTTTTCCTTACCCCTTCTGTAATCTTGCTGAGCAGATAACTCAACGCATAGGTCATTGCAAAAGAGAGGTAGATTTCTATGACTTAAAATTAGGAGAAACAACAATTATTAGAAACTGAGCTGATGTGATAGCCAAGGAAACCTAATAAGGGACTATAGGTTGTATAGGTGGGAAGAACATTTGAACATTTTTGGAAACAATTGAAAAAAACATGTTTGTTAAGTACTGAGAAACCTTGATAGGAAGAATCCTGGAATGAAAAGAAATCTTCACAGTTTAGGACTTATTCCACAGAAAATTTGCATACGGTTGTTTTGAGCATAAAACAGCATTTTGTACATAATAAACAACAATTTCTGTGTAGAACATGATTTTCTGCCAGAAAATGCTATTTTCTGTACCAAACAATCACATGCAAATTTTGTACAAAATAAGTGACAAATTGTGAATAGTCTTTAAAAACTGCATAGTTTTCAAAAATTTCTTCCAGAGAGAAAAACATTACTAAAATTACTCACTGCATCCTCCAAGAAGAAGAAAAATTAGCAAAGAATTGCATCCCTAGAGATCTGACTGACTTGTAATGTTGTTAGGTCCTTTGAAGTTTTCCCAAGGAGTGTACTGCTGTCTGCTTCTTCCAGAGCTGTGTGGAGCTCACTTAGGCCAGCAATGTTCTCCCTGAGGAAAGAATGGAGAGTACTTGTTCAGTATGGCAGCTTTGCTTCACCAAGGACTACACAGCCATTGTGGCTGTGGATAAGCAACAATTGTATGAACCCCTGGATAGCTCCTTAAAGTATACATCCAAAAATAATTTTTGTGAACAAATGGCTCCTGAAAACCCCCAGAATTGATAGTTTTGCAGGTAAAGAAGTCACAGCCCACTAACCCTGTTTTTTCCCCATCATGAAGGAAGCAGACCTCTGGTTTTACTTGCTTCTTTTTTCCCCTTTTTTAAAAAAACATTGGTGCAGTTTATGGCTTTGTAACTTAGCCTGCCCCCCTTTTTTGG